TTTGGTGAGAACAGAAGGTGTACGCCTAAAATCACGGCCCCTTCCAATGGAGCTTTTCACGTCGCGGTGGTGAATTCTCCATCGCGGTGGTGAGTTCACCATCGCGGTGGTGAGTTCTCCACCGCAGTGGTGAGTTCTCCATCGCGGTGGTGAGTTCACTCCACCGCGATAGAGAACTCACCACGGTGATGAGTTCTCCACCGCGGTGGTGAGTTCTCTCCATCGCGGTGGTGAGTTCTCCATCGCGGTGGTGAGTTCTCTCCACCGTGGTGGTGAGTTCTCTCCATCGCGGTGGTGAGTTCACCATCGCGGTGGTGAGTTCTCTCCACCGTGGTGGTGAGTTCACTCCATCGCGGTGGTGAGTTCTCCACCGCGGTGGTGAGTTCTCTCCATCGCGGTGGTGAGTTCTCCATCGTGGTGGTGAGTTCACCATCGCGGTGGTGAGTTCTCTCCATCGTGGTGGTGAGTTTACCATCGCGGTGGTGAGTTCTCCATCGCGGTGGTGAATTCTCCATCGCGGTGGTGAGTTCTCCATCGTGGTGGTGAGTTCTCTCCATCGCGGTGGTGAGTTCACCATCGTGGTGGTGAGTTCTCCATCGTGGTGGTGAGTTCTCTCCACCGCGGTGGTGAGTTCTCTCCACCGCGGTGGTGAGTTCTCCATCGCGGTGGTGAGTTCACCATCGCGGTGGTGAGTTCTCTCCATCGCGGTGGTGAGTTCTCCATCGTGGTGGTGAGTTCTCCATCGCGGTGGTGAGTTCTCCATCGCGGTGGTGAGTTCTCTCCATCGTGGTGGTGAGTTTTCTCCATCGCAGTGGTGAGTTCTCCATCGCGGTGGTGAGTTCTCACCATCGTGGTGGTGAGTTCACCATCGCGGTGGTGAGTTCACCATCGTGGTGGTGAATTATCTCCACCGCGGAGCTTTTCACGTCGCGGTGGTGAATTCTCCATCGCGGTGGTGAGTTCACCATCGCGGTGGTGAGTTCTCCACCGCAGTGGTGAGTTCTCCATCGCGGTGGTGAGTTCACTCCACCGCGATAGAGAACTCACCACGGTGATGAGTTCTCCACCGCGGTGGTGAGTTCTCTCCACCGTGGTGGTGAGTTCTCTCCATCGCGGTGGTGAGTTCACCATCGCGGTGGTGAGTTCACCATCGCGGTGGTGAGTTCTCTCCACCGTGGTGGTGAGTTCACTCCATCGCGGTGGTGAGTTCTCCACCGCGGTGGTGAGTTCTCTCCATCGCGGTGGTGAGTTCTCCATCGTGGTGGTGAGTTCACCATCGCGGTGGTGAGTTCTCTCCATCGTGGTGGTGAGTTCACCATCGCGGTGGTGAGTTCTCCATCGCGGTGGTGAATTCTCCATCGCGGTGGTGAGTTCTCCATCGTGGTGGTGAGTTCTCTCCATCGCGGTGGTGAGTTCACCATCGTGGTGGTGAGTTCTCCATCGTGGTGGTGAGTTCTCTCCACCGCGGTGGTGAGTTCTCCATCGCGGTGGTGAGTTCACCATCGCGGTGGTGAGTTATCTCCATCGCGGTGGTGAGTTCTCCATCGTGGTGGTGAGTTCTCCATCGCGGTGGTGAGTTCTCCATCGCGGTGGTGAGTTCTCTCCATCGTGGTGGTGAGTTTTCTCCATCGCAGTGGTGAGTTCTCCATCGCGGTGGTGAGTTCTCACCATCGTGGTGGTGAGTTCACCATCGCGGTGGTGAGTTCACCATCGTGGTGGTGAATTATCTCCACCGCGGTGGTGAGTTCTCCATCGCGGTGGTGAGTTCTCTCCATCGCTATCTGGCAGGTAGAAACTTCTGGATCCGCCTCCATCTCAATGTGCCCCCCGCCCCCCCACTGCGTGAAGGCGCCACGGCCCCCCCACCTCGCTCCCCGCCCCCAAGACCATAATTAAAGTGAGGCCTCAGAAATGGCGAAGTGTGAACGTCGGAGGCCCTGCCTGAGGCTCGGTCGCCTCAATTGAGGAGAAGGAGGATGAGGAGGAGGCTCGCGTGGCTGTAATGTCCGGGTGTTGAGCCTCCTCCGTCACCCCCACGCGGTTGATGCGGTTCCACGTGCGCTGCATCAGACGGGCGACCACGCACTTAACATCAACGCCCGATGATGTTTCTGAGGATGGATCGATGATGACGACGATGATGATGATGGAAACAGAAGACAAACGACACTCACCCAACGCCGCTCTCCGCCGCCTCATTCCCACAATCACAATTCACAAAGTCGCCTCCATCCCGGTCGCACACGCTCGCCTGCCTGCCCTCCCTCTCTCCCTCCTATATCGGAATTAGCCTCTGGGGATTGGCCAAACACCCACAAATATGTGCACAGTTCGGACGGAGGGAAATCAATGGGATCCGAAATGGTGCGCGATCGGCCGGGACCCCTTGCCATAATTACATCATATTTCACGGGAGGGGCAGCGTCTCTAATGGACTCCATCAAGGTGGGGGTTGACGCCACATTAACCCACCCACCGTTCCCCACCCCTTCCTCTCCGTGATCAATAACACTTTAGTCTTTAGCCCGGGTTTAGAATCGGCCAATTTGAAGAGGGAGGGCAAGTGGAGAGAGAGAACGGGGGGGGGGGGGGGGGGGGGCGTGGGCCATAAAAACCAAGAGCGCGTGCCAAATGGAGCGGTGAAAGTTGAGCCGCCCCACAACCCCCGGGGGGTGATGGTCAAGTTGACCCGGCCGTCGCTTCCGCGAGTCTTTATTTCGTGGGCGATAAACATTCAAAGGTATCCCCTTCATTAACTGAACGTGCCGGCCCCACGCAGCCATGATAATGATTATTACGATTATTATGTGATCTGAGATCTTGCGTCGGCCACGCAAATGTTCTGACCAAATGCGTCGCTCGTAAAAATAAGTCATATTTAAAACACTTTGTTTAAACACGCTTTTATGAAATGTACTAGTAATGGAAGAACTCCACGACTCCAGAAAGTGACCCCGAAGCTTGCCATAACGTAAGGGACCGTGGCCAATTACAGCCAACGTCAGTTCGACCGTGGACAATTAGACCCAAGCCGAAACATAACATATACAAAATAATGTTTAAAAATATCTAATTAATTTTTTATGATGGAATATAGTATTGTCATCACTATGACATAAGTATACCAAGTTTGCAGTCGATACCACATTGGAAAGTGGGTTAAAATAGAGTTACAAGATTTGATGATACAACAACAACGACGACAACGACGACAACAGAGTTAAATGAAAGCGTGTAAAAAAGATTCCACCGGGCAACACAGGCAGACGGACAGAGAGCTTGATTGTCGCCGTGCCGAGGCAAAGCATTGAAACGACGCGCCCGGTTTTAGCAAAGAGATACCGCAACCGGTGCCATTTCGACGATTCGATATTTTCTAACTGCTGTCCGTTGTTGCCTGTTGAGGCGACACTTGACGGGGAGTGCCGAGACTTCGAGGAAAGCTCTAGAACATCGCAGGCAAGTTAAAACCGCTGCAGTGAGACGTCACCGCACACGCTGTGCGAGCGATCTGCTGCTCGAATGGCCACTCAGGCGGTATTCGTTGCCCGTTATCAGTCCGGATTCATTGGTGGAAATTCCACATTCCTTAGGCGGGGGGCGAGTTTCCCCAAAAAGGCAACCATTGTTGAGTTTCTTGCAAAGTTGGTACTGATTTTATCGACCGCGGAGGGATGATGGGCTGAGTCAACCAGCAGCCAGACATTTTATCCACGGGAATGGAAACAGACTGTTCCCTGCAGAGTGTAATTATGCATACAATTAAATGATGCGCAAAAATATCCTGAAAAATCACTGAAAGCCAAATTATGTCAGCACCAAGATCCACGTCACTTACCACTCACTCACCACTTCACTCACCACGTTACTCACCATTCACTCACCACGTCACTCGCCACTTACCACGTCACTCACCACTCACTCACCACGTCGCTTATCACTCAACACGTTACTCAACACTCACTCACCACGTCACTCACCACTCAATCACCACTCACTCACCACGTTACTCACCACTCAATCACCACTCACGATCCACGTCAGTGACCACTCACCACGTCACTTACACACCACGTCACTAATCACTCACCACGTTACTCACCACTCACCACGTTACTCACCACGTCGCTCACTTTTTGTTTGTTGCGGTTGCACCCGATTCAAGAGCCGAATGGCTCACAGGGCGATACCAAATAAATAAAACTGAAACACCACGTCACTCACTACTCACTCACCACTCACGATCCACGTCACTCACCACTCACGATCCACGTCACTCCCCACTCACCACGTCACTCACCACCCTTCACGAGCCCTGTCCGTGTCCCACGTGGACGCCCCGCGGGCTCCCTCTGGCGTGCGCGTGCCGCCTCTGCAGAGGGCGCCGAGTGTTGGATGAGCGGTGGCGCAGCGGTTAGCGCACTGCGCTTCGAAACCGACGACCCCAGTTCGACAGCAAATATCTGGATCTGTCCGGGTATTCTCCTAGGTCAACTCAACCTTAAATGAGTAAATGGTGCGGTGCCTAAACATCGGAACTGGGGAGACAAAGGCGGTCGGGAATGGTTCTGGCACCCACGGTCTGATAAGGCGATAAGGGGAATGTTTTACCTTTACACTAAACATTACAATTTGGATTACAATCGCTCGCATCTATCCACACTACAGATTACATTATCCTGCGTCGATCCACACTATGGATTACAATCGCTCGCGTCTATCAACACTACCAATTACAATCAATCGCGTTTATCCACACTACGGGTTACAATCGCTTGCGTCTATCCACACTACCGATTACAATCGCTCGCGTCTATCCACACTACCGATTACAATCGCTCGCGTCTATGCACACTATCGATTACAATCGCTCGCGTCTATCCACATTACGGTTTATAATCGCACGCGTCTATCCACATTGCGGTTTATAATCGCTCGCGTCTATCCACACTACCGATTACAATCGCTCGCGTCTATCCACATTACGGATTACAATCGCTTGCTTTGCAACATGGCGGCGCCCATCTGAGCAGTGCAAGGGTCTCCCCCACCGCCTCCACTGCTCCGCGCGTTCCGTTCGGCCGCGCTGCTGCCTCGCCTGGAGCCCGGTGGGGGCGGGGGGCCTCATGTCTCTGTGTCGCTGCGTGGGGTCGCGGCTGCTCCTGCAGGTGCCGCTGCGGCTCCGCGTCCCGGGCCCCCGCGCCGCGCTGCACGTCTCCTCGCCCCGGGGCGACTCCAGAGTCCAGCAGCTGCAGCGAATGCTGGCCAAGCACAGGTGGGGGGGGGGGGGGGCACAGGTGGGGGGGGGGGCAAGCACAGGTGGGGGGGGCACAGGTGGGGGGGGGGGCAAGCACAGGTGGGGGGGGGGGGGGCACAGGTGGGGGGGGGGCAAGCACAGGTGGGGGGGGCACAGGTGGGGGGGGGCAAGCACAGGTGGGGGGGGGGCAAGCACAGGTGGGGGGGGGCACAGATGGGGGGGGGGCACAGGTGGGGGGGGGGCAAGCACAGGTGGGGGGGGGGCAAGCACAGGTGGGGGGGGGGCAAGCACAGGTGGGGGGGGGCACAGGTGGGGGGGGCACAGGTGGGGGGGGCAAGCACAGGTGGGGGGGGGGCAAGCACAGGTGGGGGGGGCACAGGTGGGGGGGGGCACAGGTGGGGGGGGCACAGGTGGGGGGGGGCACAGGTGGGGGGGGCACAGGTGTGGGGGGGGCACAGGTGGGGGGGGGGGGGCACAGGTGGGGGGGGCAAGCACAGGTGGGGGGGAGGGGGGGCAAGCACAGGTGGGGGGGAGGGGGGGCAAGCACAGGTGGGGGGGAGGGGGGGCAAGCACAGGTGGGGGGGAGGGGGGGCAAGCACAGGTGGGGGGGAGGGGGGGCAAGCACAGGTGGGGGGAGGGGGGCAAGCACAGGTGGGGGGAGGGGGGCAAGCACAGGTGGGGGGGAGGGGGGGCAAGCACAGGTGGGGGGGAGGGGGGCAAGCACAGGTGGGGGGGAGGGGGGCAAGCACAGGTGGGGGGGAGGGGGGGCAAGCACAGGTGGGGGGGAGGGGGGGCAAGCACAGGTGGGGGGAGGGGGGGCAAGCACAGGTGGGGGGGGGCAAGCACAGGTGGGGGAGGGCAAGCACAGGTGGGGGGGGCAAGCACAGGTGGGGGGGGGGCAAGCACAGGTGGGGGGGGCAAGCACAGGTGGGGGGGGCAAGCACAGGTGGGGGGGCAAGCACAGGTGGGGGGGGGCAAGCACAGGTGGGGGGGAGGCAAGCACAGGTGGGGGGGAGGCAAGCACAGGTGGGGGGGAGGCAAGCACAGGTGGGGGGGGCAAGCACAGGTGGGGGGGAGGCAAGCACAGGTGGGGGGGCTGGCCAAGCACAGGTGGGGGGGGGGCACAGGTGGGGGGGAGGCACAGGTGGGGGGGGCAAGCACAGGTGGGGGGGGGGCAAGCACAGGTGGGGGGGGGGGGCAAGCACAGATTGGGGGTTTGGGGGCAAGCACAAGCGTGGGGGAGGGGGGCTGTCCCAGCCCCTGTCGAGCTGGTTTAGGACTGACCGTTCGATCCCGGTTGTTTTGTACTGTGAATTTCCAGAGCGTCACAGTTAGTTTCTCCCAGTCTGGTGACGGGTAGAGCGATACCTTCAATTGATCCTGATTGCGGTACCCCTGGGGTACCGAATAATACAAAATGGGCGAGGCAATTAAATATTTTATTCCTGGGACACTATTTTTTTCCAGGGGTGTACTTAACTTGGCGACTGGGGTACCAATCCATCCGAAATCAGTAATACTCCACGATGTCGAAATGCAGCGAGGACGATTGCGCTGAAACCCTGAACGCACCTAGTGGTGCATCGTGTGCGAGAGCCGGATTACTATGGTACCCCGCGGGGTACCGCCATAAGGTTCAGTTAACATTGAGTGATTTCGAAGTCTCACGTGACAGGGTTGTTTGTGTTATTGTTCTGATTTCCGTCTGCTTCGCCGTTGTATTTTGCGTTGCTTTTGCCATTATGGTAACCCAGCGCAACATGCAATTGAGACTCATTCTGGTCTCTTGATTTGTCACTTTGTTAAACAAAATAACTTTTAAACTTGAAGATCATACGTGAATGCATGCTAATTAAATGAGAAACACGCATATTACAGTCACCGCATTTAAATTAATCACGTCTCTCTGACACATTTTCCCATGCCATATTTTCAGAAAGAAGCACTGGTTTCAGTCGCGTTTTAAGCCGGTAAGTCAGCTCCAGAACCACCAGCACCGTTTCATCATTGTAAACCCGTCAAAATTATTTTTGCTGTGAACGTTATGACCACTCATTTATCTAGACACTTTAAATTTATACAGAAAAAACTCTACAAACATTTAGTGGCATAAAAAAAAACATTTTATATATTTTTTCATTATTACAACTAACTGGATTTATTACACAACTTGACCCAGTGAGGTCTTGTGAATGACTCCAGGAATGTAGTTGTGGACATTATATATTTGTGCCTGTTTCATAATTGAGCTTCTTCTTCTTCTTTAGTGCTGCCTAACGGCGTGTGCGACTTCACGATGATATTGGTCCCGGTCTAGCACGGCGTGTAGAGTTTGTGCTGTTGTTAATTCTAGCCATGTTTTGATATTACTGAGCCATGTCGTTTTTGGCCATCCTGGTCGTTTTTTCCCTTCGATTTTTCCTTCCAGGATTTGCTTTAATAGCTGGTATTTGTGGTCGTTTCGGGCAATGTGGCCTAGGTAGTAACACTTCCTGCTAATGATGGCCTTCAGCACTTGCCTGTCAGTGCCCATATCTTGCAGAACTTGTGTATTGGTGGTTTTGGCTGTCCATGGGATTTTCAGCATTCTTCAATACAGCCACATTTCGAAAGCTTCGAGCCTTTTTTAATTGAGCTAATGACTGGTAACTGTAAAGCAGGTAATTCCTTTTCTTAAAAACTGCATTCAAGTGAAGGTGGAGCAAAGGGGAGCACAGTAAGTAGTGTCAGGTTCATAGAAAAGGAGGAGGAGGGGATGGTGAGAACATCCGGTGCAAGGGGAGTCAGCAATGCAGACAGCCTGAGATCCAGCTGAGGGATTATTCTGTGGGGGCAGCAAAGGAAAAGGGGCAACCTCCTGCAGGAGAGGGTATGAGGAGGAGGGAAATAGAGAGAGATGAGATGGAAAGGGAGGCACACCCATGCCTGATCTTGAAAACAGTGAGGGCAATCTTATAGTTAAGCCATGATTGGTTTGGGAGCCAATGGAGGCATCTTTGGATTAGGGTGATACGTTTCCGGTGCAGGCATGAATTCTGACAGTCGTGTTCAGAATTGTACAGAGTGAGGAGGTGAGCGGTTTTTGGGAGCAAGAAGGAGTTTTACAGGGATGAGGAAAGGTTTCAGCAGCAGTTGAGCCATTGAAGTGGTGGTGGTGGTGGTGGACGTCGGATGTTCTGCACACGCTGAGCTCGGTGGCGAGTTCAGGGTTTGGAGTGATGCCGAGGCCTCGGTGATGATCGGCGTGTTCCGTGCGCCACGCAGGAGGTCTTCCAGGGGTCCCTGGACTCGGGCCCCAACTGGTTGGGAGGGACGTCGCTGGGGCCCCGCAAACGGGCCAGGGGCGAGGACAGCCTGCGTTCCCGCACGGTGAGCAGCCTGCTGATGCGCTACATCGTAGACCTGATGAGCACGTCCGAGGTGGGGCCCGAGGTGTGCCACCTGCCCATGGAGATCGTCAAGGTGAGCTGCCGAACAGGGCGACCGGCTACCACACTTGTGAACACCCAGCGACACTCCACGTTACTCCAATAGCTTCCAGTGTGGACCACGGGTGCCACGGTGGCGAGATGTTATCTGCCTCGCCTGGTATGGAGGAGGTTGTGAGTTTGATCCCGACCCTGACGCCTACTGTATATTTGGAGTTTGAATGGTCTCCCCGTGGTCGAGTGAATTTTCCTCCGTGTCCTCTAGTTTTTCCCTAATTTAGAAAAGCGCATTTAGAGTATTTGGCTGCTATAAATTTCCACATAAGCCACTTCGTTGAGCTATCATTTGTGGCTATGTCGCTTCTGAAAAAGAGCTATATAGCTCAGTGGGCCTTCCCTGGTAAAATAAAAATACATTGTAGTTTTTATAGTTTATGTTTCCCATGCCTTTGATGTTATTAGTGCAAGGGTCTCAATAAGTCTTTCGTATGGTTTTGCAAAAGCAACTGGCAAAATACTCTGTGTGTGGCGTCTGGTAATCGATTTAGTGGCATGCATTATTAATGCATACCCGTTGGAGGAATAGAGAGAGCCCTGTTGACATGAGGTCTCTGGCTGCGCGTTGATACAATGTCGCGTTGCGTGCTGTGAAAGCTCTTGCGTCTATCCACACTACAGATTACAATCACTCCCGTTTATCCATACAACGGATTGCAGTCACTCGCGTCAATCTATATTATGAATTACAATCGCTTGTCTATCCACGCTACGGTTTGCAATCACGTGCGTCTATCCACATCTCATATACAGGTGTTTTAGTTTCGTGGCATAACGCTGACGTCACAGTTGGGCGGATATAATCGGATGTCACAAGCTGCTCTCTGTCGCCCATTGAGACGTTCCCGTGCGCCGCCAGGTGAAGATAACCCCGGACTTCAGCGCGTGCCGCGTGTACTGGCGTGGCCTGGGCAGCACGGAGCAGGACGAGGGCACAGCGCAGACGCTGCAGCGCTACGCCAAGCGCCTGCGGTGAGTGTGCCACGCAGCGACAATGCAGCTGCAGCAGATCGTGCCCGTACTGCTGCAGCTGTATTAACCTCGAAGTTACGCTCCACATGCTTCACAGCGGACGTTAAAAATCCCGTGACGTCACTCATAAGAGTCGGCCGTTGCTCGCTGGCATCAAAGGCCAAATTTGCTCAATTCGAAGATTATGAAATTGGGATTACACATATTGTTATCTTCTATAGATTTATATAGCACCTTTGTCCAAGGTGCTTCACGATAAATTTAAAATTGTACAAAAGATGATAGTGGTTAAAATAAAGAGTGGGGTTACTAAAAGTGGGGATGTAGTTATGGTGACAGGACAGGTGGTAGTGGTTAGGGAGGGATTGAGGTAGTGCTCGTGATAGGGTATGGGTTGGGGTGGTGATAGGGGCAGTGATAGGGGTATGGGTAGGGGTATGGGTTGGGGTGGTGATAGGGGTAGTGATAGGGGTATGGGTAGGGGTATGGGTTGGGGTGGTGATAGGGGCAGTGATAGGGGTATGGGTAGGGGTATGGGTTGGGGTGGTGATAGGGGCAGTGATAGGGGTATGGGTATGGGTTGGGGTGGTGATAGGGGTAGTGATAGGGGTATGGGTAGGGGTATGGGTTGGGGTGGTGATAGGGGCAGTGATAGGGGTATGGGTAGGGGTATGGGTTGGGGTGGTGATAGGGGTAGTGATAAGGGTATGGGTAGGGGTATGGGTTGGGGTGGTGATAGGGGTAGTGATAGGGGTATGGGTAGGGGTATGGGTTGGGGTGGTGATAAGGGTAGTGATAGGGGTTGGGGTAGGCCTGGTCGTAGCTGGGGGGCAGGGGCAGGAAGTCGCAGGATAGGCAAGGGAGAACAGATGGGTTCTAAGCAAGTAACGGAAGATGATTGCTCCATGTGCTGCAGTGGGGAGTTGGTTTCAATGAAAGGGAGCGAGACTGGGCGCAGGGCGAGGGAGGCTGTTGTATATGTTGGGTATGAAAATTTGTTATGTTGTATGCGTGCGTGGGTGAATTATTATGTTGTATGTGTGGGTTATGAATATTCAGTGGAAATAATAATAATTAAATGAAATTTGGCCAAATGTGTAATTATCCGGAAATATGTTAATTTATGTAATTACGCACATTTTAATTATGCCAATTCGAGAGGTAATCGTATTAATTATGCGAGTGGGTGTAATTATGATAACGCAAGTCGTTATGATAACCAGACCCCGGTTCACCCCGTTATCGCTTTAACATTTACTGAGTATGTATTAGTGTGTTTATTAAGGTCACCAAGTTCAAATCTCAACGCAGAAGCAGATCTTATGCATAGATTTCAGGAAAGAATCACACAACCACTTCTGTATTGATCAATTTATTACTAATTCAACCTTAACTATGATATAGTATGCGAACTCTCAATCCCGGAACGTCAATACGGCATCAATACAGTATCATCAACGATTGTCTGATTTCACTTTGACAACGGCACATGGATCCCGCATAACGCGATGGTTCTTAGTGAGAGAGAGAGTCGTTAAAACATGCAAATATTATGCTAAGAAAACCTTAACGTTAATGAATGATTATACTCAATATTGTTCACGCAGTACCGCACTCCTTATTGATCATACGCAACCCTTATCACGTTGTTAACACCTTGGGTCACGGAACAGTTGAATATTCTGTAGAGGATGCGAGTACGTGCGGCGATTATGACTGAAAGATACTTGAAAGATTATACGGCGATAAAAAAAAAACACAATCAAAACAGTTATTATTCTTAAAGGCACCAATCTCAACAGATACATCGGCAGGTTATCTCAGAACGGCTCGGAGTAAGGGCCTGCGACGGTGCTCCTTTTCCGAAGATTGTTATCTTATACCAAGTTTACTAATTGGGGACCAGATCACCTGATAAGGATCCGGTGGGCCACCACTCCCCACGTGAGCGTGGCTCGGCGGAAGGAGGTGCCAAGAATCAGTTCGTATTGATGGATCTGTTGGGAATTTATGCGATTAAGAGTACAGTCCACTAAATATTAAAGATAAAAATTAAGAATACTCTTATAAACGACGGATGGCCACCACTCGGTCTCGTTGTGATGCCTTCCCAGCCACGGATGACTTATGGGTTCGAGTGTGTTTGAGTGGTAAGAGTTGTCTTGAATAGTCAGTGTTCGGAGTCGATTCTTTATGTCAAACAGACGCCTGGTGGTCGTGTGGTGAGGGGGCGGTGCGCGTCATACGTATCAGGCGCTCCCCTGTCACCGTGGTGAATTGGCTCGGATGGCTGTTGATACGCTGTCGCAGTTCGGAACCCGGTCGGTAGGTGGCGCCCACAACTCGCTCGTAGCGTGCAGCGCTGGATCGTCGCCAAGTCGCGACGCTCACCACCGGCGGCAGCGGAGATCTCCGGCGGCAGCAGAGATTGACGAGCTGAAGATGAGTCGAGCCGACCCGCTGGTCGCAGCTCGCTCCTGAGTCGACCCTCCCGGTCGAGCTCGCTCCTGGGTCGACCCGCTGGTCGCCCTCGCTCCTGAGTCGACTCTCTGGTCGCACTCCTGAGTGGACCCGCTCTGGTCGCACTCGTTCCTGAGTCGACCCTCCCGGTCGAGCTTCTGAGTGGACCCTCCCGTCGCACTCGTTCCTGAGTCGACCCTCCCGGTCGAGCTTCTGAGTGGACCCTCCCGTCGCACTCGTTCCTGAGTCGACCCTCCCGGTCGAGCTTCTGAGTGGACCCTCCCGTCGCACTGGTTCCAATGCTCAGGATCCTTTACTTTATGCCGAAAAATCCCCCTGGATCCCGCCCACAAGGCGGGGCTTCTTTTCGATTTTTGCTGTGTCAGGATCTGTCCGTAGGCAGGTGTGTCCATGTGTCTGTCCGTATGTCCGTGTGTCCTTGTGTGCATCACTGACGGTATATTCGTTGTCACACTCCCTCCATAAAACCCACGAGCAAACAATCAGATGTTACAAATTGCCTCGAAGTCGTCTCTCTGTCTGGGTGCAATATTATCTCTTGTCTGGCCTTCTTCATGACCCAAAACACAGACGTTACAAATCGTCTCATAGGCGTCTTTGTTCGTGTTGCACAACCTGGAGGGAGGGGCAACACTCTCTCCGACCCGGCGCACAAAGAAATGGTTAAAAAGTTTTAAGTTAACATTTGTCCCTTACTATTTCACAGTTATGATTCTGTATGTAACCTAAGGTCTGTCGTTTCCCATCGTGGTGCCCGACCCAAGTGTAGGTGTTTCCCCGAGCGTACACACACTCCTATCCCGCGCTGCGGGAATACAAAGACGGCCGGGATCTCCCTTTCTCTCCGACCCTGGGTTTAACATCGTTTTTTTTTTTTATTATGTATTATATTCGACCTGGTTGTGATTCATCCCGTTATCCTGGCTTTTCCATAAGTTTTACTTTGTCTTTTCATGCATATACTTATTACTATTAATTTATTTCCGATATCTTAGGTTAAGGGGTAAGTTTCTTGATCCTAGGAATTCGTATTCCTTGGTGCCTGGATGGTTATATAAGCGGAATATAGTTTACGGTGAATAGCGTTAACATTGATGTTATGTGCGATATGTATTGTGATGTCTTTAACTTAACTTGTTTGTCAGGGCTTTACTGACACGAAGTTGCATTCCATGGTCCGCAGTCTTTGCCCCACCCTATCTCTGCTCGCCGTTGTTGTTGCCTGCCGTTAATTCAAGGCCTCATTAATTTCCGTCCCTCCTGAGTAGGTGAGGGCGGCTGAACCTTGGAGTCAGTTCTGGTTTTTGTCTGCCTGCTTCTTCTTGTGTCCCCTGACCCCGGGAGTTATTATTCTACTTTATGGCCTGTCGAAGCCCCACTCGCTGTTGCTGGGCTGGTGTTGTTCCCGGCTTTTTGCTTACGTTTGCAGTTCGCCGTGCTCTTGATTTCCTTCCCTCTTCAACCTTATATTGACTATTCGCTCCTGTCTGGGTGCGATTCAATTTTGACTTAGGAAGGTTCTGATTGTCATATGCTTCGGGTCGAATTGTATAGAAAGTATTGAAGTATGGAAATAACATTTCATATTGACTTAATAATGGTGATGGTTCAGTAGGCGTAACTTGTGGCCTGGTTTAATTGGAGTGGGTGTGAATATCAATAACTTTAGCCTACCCTGTTGTTAAATTCCGACTTTAACGTTACTTTAATAGCAATACAGAATAATTGAGCTTTTTGTCTTAACTAGGCGAATGCGAACTTCTGGTGACCCCCGCAGCCTTGTTGTTCAGCTGGGTCTGCCTCCTTGAGAGATATACACCACTCTTATTCTCGTCTCACTGTGGTCATCCAACCTTCTGCTCTGGGAGTGTTATTCTTACTTTCAGGTCAAAGGCCCCCTCACGTTCAGACGTGCAGGGTTGTTTACATCAGCTCCCCCCCTGTGCACGTGTTCTAACTAGCTCGGAATCCCTGAACACACAATCAGTGATGATTCCTGGCTTTCTGTGGTTGTGATTTAGACAAAGGCGCCTCTGTTTCTTCCATTGCCTTTGAGTCGACACTGCCCTATTATTTGCCCATGTGCTGAGGTCATAGAATTCGTTTTGACTTCAGTAATATTAACATTCAGTATTGGATCAGCAAATGGGCAATGGTTCATTGATGTAGCTCGCAGCCTGGTCTCCAATTTGAGCGAGCGCGAGGATCGATAATTTAGCCTACTCTGTTGTTGAATTTCGAATTTTGACGTTACTTTAAAACCATGCAGGATGATTGGGCTTTTGCCTTAACTATGTCTGGCTGACACTCCCACTGTCTCTGCCGCCTGCACGGGTGACATGTGCCCGTTCATCCGGCCTTATCTTTCCTTGAAGCAAGGTTGCAAATTCTGCCATCCTAGCCCTCCTCCAGTTCATTACTTAACAACACCTGGTGTTTTGCAGTTTGCTGCGCTTGGTGTGTTTCAATCATTAAAAAAACAAGTAAAAAGATAATATATAAAAATCATCAAATATTAT